TTTTTTTTTTTTTGAGTTTTTTCCTAAACGATAAAACATTAGGGACTTGTCAGAAATTAGCAAGGGGGAAGGGGAGGTGGAGATTTTCAGTTAAGCGATGAAAATAAAATGACCCTCCCTAGGTAAGGGATTAAAGTATCCCGACCCTCCCCTGGAAAGCGTCCTAAAATTCTAGGACCCTCCCCTTAGTCCGAATTCTTATGCAGTGGTACAAGGAAAATAATTCAGTACTTTCGAAAAAAGCCATCTTGTACTGAAACTGACCTACGATGGACATGCAAGTGTTTCTTCTGTTGGCAAACAGGACAAAAGAAAGTTTTTGGTTTAATGGAATTATGACAGTTTCTCTTTCACGTAGCCTGAAATTTATCCGATTGCTTGGAGTTGTTTTCTCCTCTCAACAACTGAGGGAGTATTAACGACTTGAAGTAATCGGATAAAATTCAGGCTATCTTTCACGACTATAAGAATCAAAGACGAATAATTTTCGCGAAAAAAAAAGTTAGACTTCTGAATGTTTTTTCAGTGGAGATCACTTCAAGTGATGCTCAGAAACAGGGTTATGTGACAAAACAGCATGCTATAGAAATCAAGTGGGAAAAGTTGCCCTTCTACACAAGGAAAATAATGATCAATATGTCAGGAAATCAGAATTGCATGTCATGATTTTCATATATGGTTTGTATTCTCGTAAAACATAATATTGAAACATCCCTTCACGATCGTGGTGGCTTATTTTTTTTGTGACCCCCCCTCTTTTCCTGTCATTTTTGTTCATAACCCTCCCTTTTGGAGGGCTAAAAAAACTCTGACCCTCCCCCGTTTTCCACCCCCCCTCCCCCCCTGCTAATTTCTGACAAGTCCCTTAGCAGCTGACGTTTTCAGTAGCTGTTCGTTCATCCCTCACGAGCATTTTGAGACAAATTTAGTGATGGTCCGGTTACTATGGTTACGAGATATGGCATCATAAGTAGCAGGTGGTCAAGCCATTTTCGAGTGAAAATGCATGTTTTTTCAACTTGTTTCAACAGTAAAAGTAAAGCTGATGGATGAAATGATGCAAAGCGCTTCTTTATGTGCTATTTTACATGTCGAGTAAAAAAATTACCATTTATCGCGCGGTTTCAAACTGATTTCTAATTTTTTGAAAAATCCAAGATGGCGTCCATTGTTGTTGACGTCACGGGCCTCCAGCCGCGCCACCACCCATAAAATATACCTCATCTTGTAGAGAAAATCAAGGGCTTTTCACTGAAGCAAAAATCGTTTCGAAATACTGCAACATATCAAACACTCTGGGGAGGGGTTCCAACACCCCCCCCCCCCCCCCCCGGCCTTTGTCCCAGGGGGGGGGTGAAATTTGGTCCGCCTCCCCGGTTTTAAAGGAAGGTGGATGCAAAACAACTGCTGCTCGTCCCCCGTCCCAACAATATGTTATAAAAATCATATTTTTTTTTTCATGACTTCCCACATTTTGGGTATTTT